CACTCACTGCGGTCAGCGAGTGTTTACTTTCGGAACGAGATAACTCCATCTGCGGTTTGCAATCATTTATTATTGAATCTCGGCGCCATTGTGCAGCGGGGAGTGAGAGCGTCTTTGTTGCTCAGACGACATTAAATATGCTGACGCGCTGGGATTTGTGGAGCATTCACGGACACTTAAGAGATGGCATGTCTAATTCCTTTGAAGGATTAAAGACGCAATGCCGGTATCACATTTTCTATTTTTATGACTTTTTTTTCTTTTTCACATTTTATCAACAACGGGCCCACGACGGGCTTAAACGCATCGCGGGTGAATAAAGTCTATATGCGGTCTGCCATTGTTCCTCTGCGGCTCCAATTGTTTGCCACCAAAATTGTTCAAAAGCGTCCATTATGTAACACAAGCAGATCTTCACTCTGCAGCCTCTCCATTGTTCTAATTTTATTTTCGATTTCACCGTTAGCTCTTGTTCAGGAAACAAAATAAATAAATAAATAAAAAAAGGCGGCCATGAGAGAAGTGGATCAATCTCCGTGCTGAGAAGAGGCCTTTTAGTGCCGTAATGGGCTCTGATGTGGGAACATTTATCCTTCTGGAGAGACGGATCTTATAGTTTCAGCCTCTGTGTTAGAGAATAATGTGGCGTTTTCTCTTCTGTGACCAGACTGTGCATGAAATACACTTTCACCTTATTTTATACACCACACATATTATGCTCTACATCTAATATTTTATTTTAAACCTTCTGTATTCTTTATGCTACTCGACCCATTTAATAAAGTGGAATGCTGTCGAAAAGTTAAGAAACTTTGTCACCGGTGAAGCACATTATGTAGACAGTCGTCTGACAGCCTTTCTTTATGATGATCTTACGCTTCAAAGTTAATGAAAACAGGACATTTAAAATTAGAATATTACATCAGACCAATAAGTATGTATGAAAAGTATGTTTAACACAAGCTTTAGGGTTATTCTCAACTTTTAATCTGAAAAACGAAGCAGAAAGGCTACAAACGATTAAGTGTTCACTAAAGGAATGCTATGATTTTGCAATTCAGGCACTAAAATGCCTTTTCTTGTGTAAAAAAGGAATAAAAAATCTACAGATTTTTTTTAAATCCGATTAATCGTCCACCCTAACTGACTTCAAATAGTCACACCTATTAAATGTACATTATTTTCTTAAAGATCATAGCGCAACAATAGAAGTATGCACATCTGCAGCCGCATCTTCAACCAGCACAGCATGAATCTAACCCTTTATCAAGATCAATAAAGAAATCGCATCATTCCTCACACTCTTCTTTTGGAGTCTGGCGTTGTGTTGGAACCCCACTGGAGCGCTGAGCTAAGCGAAGACAAATACATTCATGTATTGTGAAATAATGCACGCATCACGAGGGGAGCAATTTTGAGGGAAGGAGGAACGATCCCAGACGACATTACTGTTATGAGCTGCCGGACGAACGAGCCTGCAAATCTAAAATCTAATGCTTGTCTTGCACTTATTGCGAACAGAGCAGTGAAGCAGAGAACATGAAGAAAAATCCCTGCGGTTTCAGTGGCCTCTTATCGTGTTTCACGTAGTTTGGGTGTCAAATATGGTCTGTGATTTATGGCTTTTAACAGCAGGCTGATGTCTGTTGTGCAGCTTTTTCATGTAATTATTATTATTATTTTTTTTTTAACCAAATCTCAGTTTTTACACCAGAACGTCCCTTTACAAGCCAACAATCATAGAAATGTTACGGCTTTGAATCGTGCCAATGATTTGTTGTCCTCTAAGTGGATATTTGTACAAAACACGCTCATCGACGTCTCAGCAGAGAGAGCGTGCCGAACCCCACAGACTGATACAGAAGTATTCGAACTGACCGAACCGTTTTAGCGTCGTCCCATTACAGCTCGTAAGCACGATCCGATATTAACATCCGTATCGGCCCTGACATTGGAAAAAAGATCCGAGATCAGATATTGACGACAATGCTCCACAGTTCTTACAGACAGATCTATTGAGTCAAATTCTATACTTTGTGCTCTGAGCGACGTTGTGCTTTATTATTATTATTTTCAGTTACATGGAGAGTTTCTAATCGCACTGTCTGAACCGTTGGAAAGACGATTTGTCGCTTTTAATTTGACATGTCTCGCCAATGCAGTCAATCTATTGTTTTTGTCCGTTTCTTTATGATTTATTTGACATCGCCTGTTTTACTCTTAATTACACTGACTCAGCAAATTAACCTTTGGAGAACCTTTGAATCGAGTCACTTTGCACCATGGTGTCCCAAAATGGTGCGCTTTATAAAACTGTCACAAAAATTCAATTGTCTTTCACTTTCACAGAATAAAAGTTGTTGTTTTTACGTTTTACTAAGCTTGTGAAGACATTGGTGTATTAAAATGTGCTGCAGAGTTATCAACTAAATTTGTAATTCAGGGAGTTTAAAAAAAGAAGGAAGAAATGGTGTAAGTCAATCCAGCTTTATTCTCTTGCATCGGATCGGGATCAGCCGATTCCAAACCTCTGAATCAGAAATGGAAACTGGATCGATGCTTCCCCTGAATGAACTTCATCAAGACTGTGGCTGCAATGGAGCAAAATGTGAAAAAAGCTAAAGTACGTTTAGAAGGCGTGTTGTGATTTTAATTTTGAGCATTGCGGCGCCGTCCACGAAGCCGCATCTCCCTCTTTAAAAGTCCTGGTTTTGTGGAATCTGCACAGCAGGAAGCCGCTGCCAAAAGAGCCATTCATTCATGGATGGCTACCAAAAACATGCAGCCGCGTCCTCGTGCTGATTGCATTAGTGTCCTGAGGTGATTTACTGTTGAACAAACAAAAAGCACCGCTTTTTACTCCACAGGCTTTAAAAATAAATAAATAAATAACTGGTGTGGTGGGTTTGCATCTGTCTGATTATGAAAAATCATCCTCTCCCCATCATATCCTCAATATGTTCACAAACTCCCGGCCCAAAAAAAAAAAAAAAAAAAAAAAACCCTCCAACCGTTGCCACGGCAACTCCAGATCGAGCGCTGCGATGCTACAAGGCCACGCATGACGTTGTGACGCGTCTGAAGAGAAACGCCGCGACAAAAAGACACTTCTGGGAGGAAGACGGAGACGATGCCGCAACTTTTCAGACTGGAAGCAGAGCAGCAGAATACGGAACCCATGCTGCATCAAGAGAGAAAGAACAGAGTTCTAAAACACACACACACACACACCCACACACACACACACCCACACACACACACACACCCCCCCCCCCCCCCCACACACACACACACACACACACACACACACACACACACACACACACACACACACACACACACAGCCCTGCAGGTTACAAGCACCGCGATTTAAAAATAAGTGATAAGTGAATCTCTGCTGCTGCGGCACAAACCATTTAACTCCACAGCGACAGAAAATGAGACGCGGCTCAGAGACGCGCGCGGGCTGTCGGCGCCTCTTACAAATGATTTGTTTACATCGGTTCACTCGCAAAGTGCACTTCCGCTGACCTCGCGGCCAACAACGCGCGAGACTCGCGCTCTTCTTTTCGCAGGCTCTTGCGCAACACTTCACCTCCATTGATCGTCACGTCGTAGAGCGGCTTCGAAAAAAACGCCGAGGCATTAAAAAGGAGAGACCCGTGACACAGAGGCGGGTCGGGGTGTCTCTGGTTTCCTCACGTGCGTGACTCTGCCGTACATCCCCAGCAGGCGTTATGGTTTGTCTAAGGTTAACTGGACTGTTTGGACCTTTGATTTATTAAATGTGAAACTATATCTCATAGGGAGCTATCACGGTTGGAAGGAACCGTCTGCTCTCTGGGAATCCACTGCAGTCCAAGCCACTGAAGGTTAAGTAAAATATTTTCCCGTTTTTCCAATTTAAAGAAATCTCTCCTTAAACTGGGATTAGCATCACAATCGACAATCGGGCTGCAAATACTGAAAACCTATTTAGTTTCAAAGCCTCTGACCTACCACATGATATAACATGCCTCCCCACTCAGCTCCTTCAGACTAGCCAGCAGGAATTAGCAAACAGCAGGGGGAACTGCACATCTGCTGAGCTCATTTTACACGCAAGTTCACCCTGAGAGCAGACGGCAAGATGCTAAAAGAAGTCTCCGGAAACCGCAAATTGTCATCAGAGGACCTTCAGCAGGATTTTGCCACTGTTGTGATAAAAAGGCCCGTCTGCACGGCCGGAAAGAGACGGCACGAGTTTTAACTTTCATGGAGCGTGTTCAAGCCTTCACTCTGAAAGTAAAACACGAAGAATTAGCCAAATAATACGCTGACAAAAAACAAAATTTATGTATTTTGTTTGAGTTGGCCAAAGTTAATTGTTGGTGTATATCTGTAAAGCAAATCTTCCTTAAATCATTACCTGTTTAAAATAATACCTTAAACCTCAGACCCACTTGGAGTGAAACGCCCAGGTTGTGATGCATCCCGCGTCTTGTCTCTCTGGGGGCTTGATGGCAGTGAAAGGCTTTTTGACTTGTTTGTTTTTGACCAACTCGCCTCATCAGATCACATGAATCCAAGGCAAAGTCCCTGCAGAGCTTTGACAACTGCACATTTGTGACGATACACACAACACATTACTCCAAAGAGGCATGTAGAGAATGTTTAAGGATTTAAGAACTGAAGAGACAAGATCCATGCAGGACCTCATCCGGTCTTGTGACGTCTCATCTATTTCCTAGGGCGTCTGTCAGCAGCAGTACCTAAATTACAAATAAATATGATGTCTTTTTCTTTAGAGTAGCATATGTCAAACCTGCAAACATTCGCCGAATAAAAGTTGTTTGAAGTCACGGACTCCGTGGTCGAGTTGCTAGCTAATTATCAGCCACGCAGCTATTATTGATTTCCCTGTGCGCGCACGCGCACTCGCTCCCACATCCTCCGGGGTCCGCGCGCGCTCCGAACCCAGCTCCTCTCCTCCTCCTCCTCCTCTTCCTCCTCCCTCTGCCCTCTCTCGCTCAGAGCTCGACGCGCACAGGCACAACAGATGGTCCAGGACCACGGGCTGCAGGAGCGCAAGAAATTGGCTCGCAAGTATTTTTATACCTCCGAACTTCGCCGGAACGTCCAGTCTCAGCGGAAGTGGCGCGGGAATTCTCCGTTGACAAAAAGAACAAACAAACTAACAAACAAACAAAAAAGTCGACTTTCCGACAGTCGCCGGAGCCCCGCATTTAGAGGCGCAGTTTGCTGCCGAGGTAAGTTGGGATTTTTCTGAATAAAATGTTGCTGACTGCGCGGAGGAAGCGACGAGTCCTCCGGCGTCTGTGTCGCTCAGCACTTTTTGTCGTCCTGAATCGGTGTTCGAGTGAGAAACAAGTCGACTGCAGCAGCGACTGTTGGAAACGTTTGTTTAACTTGAAACCGATGGACAGCGCACGTGCTTTGACTGTTCCAAACCGGTTCACTGAAGTGAACGAGTAGAGGTCCAAATGAACTTCACTTGGCCACACAAATTAATAGGTCAATCATCAAGCGCATAATGAGGCAATTGTTTAATTAAATCAATCACATAAAATTTTTTTTAAAAAACCTGCATAATGTTGTGGCTGTATGCTGTCATACTTGATTTCATATTTAAGTCTTAACCATCGGAATTAATGGGCGTGTCTTATAAAATTGATCCGATTAACTGTCGATCAGCCAATCACTTGTTAGAATGCATTTGGGGGACCAACGTTAATTATTTTATAGTAAAGCACAGAATTTCTGGACGCCAATATCATTAAACAAAAGAGTTATTTCGTCTGTCTTACAATTTATGCTTACCCGGAAATAAATGCAGTTAGAAGTAAAATTTTAATTGTTTTAATGTCTACATTTATTTACTGCATAATTAAGTAATAACATGTAAAAACAATCATGCATGATTATATTTATTTCATGAGTTCCAACCATTCATCTGTATTAAATGTGGCAGAATTACTTCAAATGTGAAACACAGATGTCATTTATTTATAACTTACACATATAATTAGTCGAAATTGTATTCTACTTTATTCATTACTGCTTCAAAGATATTTTAGCAGCTGCTTCAGGGTCAGGAGCTGTCAGTCTGCCAGTCCTAGTGAAGGTTTTTATTATCAGTAAATAATGAGTTTATGGTTTTCTTATTTAGCACATCTAAGGGACAAAGAAAGTCAACAGTTTTTTGAGAAAAACCTAAATCGGAAAAGAAAACCAACAGGTGATAGAATAAAATAAGATGCAGTGCAGAGTCGGCCTGAGGTATAAGCAAACTCTGAATTCCTTCTGCTTGACCAGGAGCCTCAAGAGTGCTTGAGGTTTTAGAAACGCACCAGTTCTACACAAAACAGACGAGTGATGAGATTTAGTGGCCTGAGGTCTCACAATATAAAGAGGCTACAATATTTATATATTCATGATATATCAGCCAAGTGAAATCTGTCTTGTAAACTGCCATGCTGTTCCTCTGTGTGGCGCTAAACAGTGAAGCGAATGTAAACTATTTTGAACCCTGGGTATGAAAATGTGTTTAGACTGAAACTGTTTGGTATGTGTTTGAGACTCTTATTTTGAAGCAATGCAGGAAATAGTTTCTGAGACGCTGTGCTCTAATTAGTAAAGCTAGCTAATAAAGATGGCTAGCCAGACTGTTGTGTGAAGAAACTCCTACTAGTTTTATACTGTTTGCTTGGCAGAATGCAGACAAAATGGTGAAGTGATGAGATACAACAAATTTTTAAGCAAAGAATCCCACAGCTGGCTAATAAGTAGCTGCTAAAGTTAGCATGTAGCTTAGCGCTTGGCTTGCCACTACACAGCTGTTGAGCTGGGGGTGGGAGGTTTTTTACAGAAACTTGTGTTTGTGAAGGAGAGCATTTTCACAGTTTAATTTTTTTTTCTTTTTAAACATTAAGACCACCTCAGCACTGGACAAATTTACCAACAATTTGTGGACTGGTCAAACTTGGAGAGAGATAGAACCCACACTGATAATGGATTCATTGTGAAACTTTTTACCCGAGACATAAAAAAAATATTTCTGCATCTCCTCCCAAATTATTCTAAGAATTTTTCTTGTTTACTTTAAGATTTTCTGCTGCTTTTCTTAAGCTGCGGTCACATTTTCTAGACTGAGTTGCTCGTGAGCAAAACATTACATTATTCCAATGTGCATGTTAATTGCAATCAGCTAATCAATTTGTGGATCCTCCAATTAAATTACAGTAGGGGTGTCAAACTCATTTTCATTTTGGATCATCTCAAAAATCTGAGAGCTCTTAAAGGACCAGTTGTTTTAGTGCAATCAAAAGGTGGCACCAATTTATAAATGTTTGCAAGAAATTTTTACATTTGTGCTGGTGTATGATGTGAAATATATGACTTTATTACTCACCGTATCAATTACAGACCAGAACTTGACATCAAGGCTGAGACAGCAGACACTTGAACTCAATGTTTTTGACTCAATTTTGGAAAAATTTGTGGTAAAGTCAGAAAAGAAATTTGGAGATTTGGTTTGAATTTGACAGATTTGTGAAAAACTGGGAGAACTTATTGGTGTAATTTGGAGTCTGGAGGGCCACATAAAAAGCTATGGTGTGCCAGATTTGGCCCCCAGGCCTTGAGTTTGACACACAGGAATTCCAGTTGGTTAGGGCCTCATGCTGCTTTCCGTCAGCTCTGCTATAATATGTTAGAGACCGGCTCCGTCTAAGACGTACATCTCGTTTGTTCTGCTTGTGAGGTTTGTCATTGACTGTATGTTTGCCAGCGAAGCCACATGCTTTGAGTCCCACAGAAAAAAGAAATCGCTTGCAGCAGCATCACCATTATAGATTATAATGGCATTCCTGCCCTCAACGAGCTGAGCATAATGACTTTTTTCTTTCAAACCCAGAAGACCTCCTTTGGCCCCACATGTGTCCCTCGAGGCACCAGCCGCTTACAGGAAACGGCAGCGGACCACCGCAGCCTCCCAGTTTGTACACAATTAGCTCTCCGGGGTAAACGACTCCAACTTTTCCTCGTCATCCGCTCTTAATTCTCTGTGAGCTGCTGGCAATGTGGCGAAGGAAACACTTTTGAGGAGTACTTTGCAAATGCGACTGTCAGGGAGCAAATTTGCAATAGCTGCTGATTTATTGAGGGCAATGGAGACGTTTTCAAATGAACAAGAGAACAGGAGGAGAGGGACACTGATTCCTCTGCAGATAGATGGCATTGGGATCCATTTTCACAGACTTACAAAAGCACAAATGTGCTTCTACAAAATAAGTTTTTAATTCAGATTACATGTAACAAACCAAAAGACAATTGAATTGTAAAGAGTCATTTGGATGTCATTTTTATCAGGTGTGTGTTTTCCTCACCTGATAATCCGGTAGACTCCGTTGCAACATTTGTTACATTTGCAAGAGGTGCGATTCACTGTCACACGAACCAAACCCTTTGAGAAACCTTCCCCCCACCTCACCTGAGGTGGCGCTGCAGCAAGAACCACTGAAGGAAACAGCACAAAAAAACTGAGGAAGACCCTGAACGCGACTTCCTCCTTTACAAAATGTAACCAGAAACGGAGCAGCGTCAGATTTTAGCAGTTGTTGTTGGTAAAAGATCACGAGTCATTTCTCCCTCTAGACTCGTGCGTTTGTTTTGGTTGTATTTACCCAGAATTACCTGCGCTATAGTCCGCTTCCTGCTTAAGAAGCAGTCTCTGGTCCGCTTGCATCCACGTAGACATTCAAACCGCGCCAGAGTTCACTTCAACCAAACCGAGACATAGGTTTTTAGGTGGGGCACAGTTCAATTTTTGGGTGATTTATGCATTCCCAAACCCTCCCCCTCCCCTAATAAACTGGACTTTCTAGGAAAAATGGACTGGAGTTCAATTAAAACAGACTAAACATGGTTTATGTGAATGTTTTCTTCATAAGCTGATGAATGCTCTTCTGGCCCAGACTCTCGTCTGAGGTGGACAGCCCTGTCTTGGTAATTACTTTCTAACCTAATTCTACTTTAAACTTCTTATCCTCAACCCGACCTATCTGTCATGTTCCTTGGTCTTTATGACACTCTTTGTTTTACTCTCAAACAAACCCCTGAGTACTTCATACAACAGCCAGTTTGTTATTCTTGATTTTATTTGGCCGCATCAGAGTAAAAGGGGTCTAATTACAAATATAAACGCAACACTCTTAAAAAAGAGTTGAGAAAATTTTCTCCACTGGTCTAAGATGCTTTAAAATGTATATTCGTGACATGTTAGAGTTAGAGCTTCAACTAACGATTATTTTAGAAATTGAGTATCCTATCACTTATTCTGGCGATTGTTTAATCGGATTAAAAATTTGGCACATTATACTGATTTATTGTTTAACTTGCATCTTCTATTCCTTTTTTAAATAAGAAAATACACATTGTAGTGCTTAAATTCAATAACGTAGCATTTCTTTAGTGAAATTGAACTGGGCGAAGCCACTTGAGAAGTATTTAGTAAAACGTACTGACAAAGATGTTCTTAATACAATTTTGGCTTAATTACTGCTCTGAGTATGTGTATGAGTCTGTACTCTCCCGTTAATGATTAATCGATTACTATCTTACTTCTTGCAATAATCTATTCATCACGATTGAGCCGATTAATTGTTTCTGCCTTGTATAAAGTGGGAAGTGTGTTCATACGGCTGTGTTGTTTTTTATGTTTACGTTTTCCTGACCATCCGTGTGAAAGTCTGGCCGTTTCACCGTCTGGAGGATGAACTCGATAGTTCAATACCAAAAGCAGAGGAACTGTCGCCCATTAGGTCCACTGCTGCTGACAGACCCTCACCCCAGGCGGTGTTTTATTAGACACTTGAAACGATGAGACCGCAACCATAGAGAGCCTTTGGAAGTAACTGAGGATTTCCGCGTGATGGAGGAGAGAGAAGCCGAATGAAATCAAGCAGAGACAACATGCACCAGATTGTGGAAAAGTTAGATCCGCAGTAATAAGATAGGACCCGGCTTCTTCCAGCGTGGACTCTGAGTGCAGTCTCTTGCTTTGAAGAGTGAAATCAAAAAGCTCAGCCGCTGTAGAGGCCGACTCATTTTGACTTTACGAAACCTTCATGTGAGGTTCGTCTCATAAACACAAAGTCTGCCTCCTTCATTTTACATCAGTCAGTAAAATAAAGAAAGTTCCATAATTAAACATTTGCTTATTAGACGTCATTTTCAAACAGCCTGCGGA